GTAAGCAAGTTTAACAACTTCTACTTGATTTTATTCAAAACAATATTTCAAGAAGAGAACAGTACCTTACAACCACATGTTAAAGTCATACAAAAGAGGATGTTCTTGGAGATACTTCCCAAAATCTGATAGACTGCCAAATCCTTTGACTAGGAACATCAAGTTATTAATCTGCAACACCCTTTCACAGTCTAAGGGGCTTCAACACACAGCCATAAAAATCCCTCTATATACTAGTTATAAAAGATTGGATTAGTTTCTTGGTTTATATAGCTATAATAATAACAGGCTAATATGCAAATGGTTGTGATGCCCTCACACCATAACAACCCATCAGCAAGAAGCTGTGTGTGCAGTAGGTATGGGGGGCGGGACTGCATGTTCCACGAGGCAGGGAGACATAAGGCTGTGTCCTCCACCCAGCACGGCTTGACTTCTATTATAGAGAAAGGGCAAATAACAATATTAAAATATTTCTTCTAACTCCCTCTTACTGTGCACAAATTTTGTGCACGGGCCACTAGTTATAAAAATAATTAAGCCAGCCGGGACCGGTTTGGCTCAGTGGATAGAGCGTCGGCTTGGGGACTGAAGGGTCCCGGATTCGATTCCGGTCAAGGGCATGTGCCTTGGTTGCGGGCATGTCCCCGGTGGGGGGTGTGCAGGAGGCAGCTGATCGATGACTCTCTCTCTATGATGTTTCTGGCTCTGTATCTCTCTCCCTTCCTCTCTGTACAGGATCAATAAAATATATTTTAAAAAAAATAATAAAAAATAATTAAGTCAAATAAATTCTGTATTTGGGAATATTCAAAAAAAGGTAATTTATCATGAGTATGGGCTGATATATATATGTGTGTGTGTGTGTGTGTGTGTGTGTGTGTGTGTGTAGCAAAACTTTAAGCCAAATGAAAAACAAACCAAGTAAAGCCATAGGTAGTGTTCATACTAGCAAAAAAATAACAAATAATTTTATAAGTGGAGCACCTGAATAGTTCCTCTAAAGTCCTCATTTTATAGAGAATTATAACCAAATTTGTACAATTTTAACTTAAAAGGTATTTTCGTTAATCCATTACCATACTGACCAATTTTCAATTCAACAATATTTTAGGATCAATTACCTTCCATTATCATACTGATCAAATTTCAATGCAACTCAACATTTACTAGGCATATAGGAGTACATGGCAATTTTCACCTTCAATCTCAATTTGTGAGACTTATTAAATATTTAAGTCATAAGTATTATTATTATGAAACCTACAATGACAATAATGGAACAAAGATCAAGGAAGGTACACACATAATAAATTACCTTTCTTTTAACATTCTCAATTTACAGACTTTATTTAGCTTGGTTAGTTTTGTAATATACATGTAAAGAATCAATCTTATCTAACCAGTTTTTCCACAAAAACATTTAAAGAATGGAAGAGGTTGAAAACTGGTAGGCTGTGAGCTATGTTTTACTCAGAAATAAGTTTTGTCTGGCCGGCATGGTGTTTTTTTAATAAATCTGATTTTGTGGCTAACATTTTAAATGGGAGGACCTTTGCCCTGGCCAGTGTGACTCATTTGGTTGACCGTAATCCCATGCACCGAAAAGTTGTCAGTTCGATTCCTGATCAGGGCACATACCCAGGTTGCATGTTTGATCCCTGATCAGGATGAATGTGGAGGCAACCGATCGATGTTTCTCTCTCACAGTGATCTATCAAATCAACAAAAACATTTATTTTTTTAAAAAATGAATGAATCTTATATTGAAATCTGGGTATCTAAATTTTTGAAACATTGGAAGATCTGAGACACATCCTTCATGGCAAAAACTGAATGTTGATTAGGCTCTTGGGCAACTAAGATTAATTAAGGCGTAATTACTGCTTTCAAAGACATCAGAGTTTCTAGAAACAGCACATAACAAATCAAATCATTGCAGTACATTAAGTTCTTACTATGTGCCAGGCACTGTGTGACAGGTATTACAATAAAAATGGAATAGGATGCCCTAGCCGGTTTGGCTCAGTGGATAAAGCATCAACCTGTGGACTAAAGGGTCCCAGGTTTGATTCCGGCCAAGGGCACATGCTCAGTTGCAAGCTCGATCCTCAGTAGAGTGTGTGCAGGAGGCAGCAGATCAATGATACTCTTCTCTCATCATTGATATTTCTATCTGTCTCTCCCTCTCTTCCTCTCGGAAATCAATAAATTAAAACATTTTTTAAAATATATATTTCATTGATTTTTTACAGAGAGAAAGAGAGAGGGATAGAAACATCGATGAGAGAGAATCATTGATCAGCTACCTCTTGCACACCCCCTACTGGGGATGTGCCCGCAACCAAGGTACATACCCTTGACCAGAATCGAACCTGGGACCTTTCAGTCCGCAGACCGACGCTCTATCCACTGAGCCAAACCGGTTTTGGCAATTAAAACATTTTTTAAAAATGAAATAGAATAAAAAGTAGGCACAAGGCAAGAGGTGATCAATTATGTTTAAAAGAATATTACTTTGCGCCTGGCCAGTATGGCTCAGTGGTTGAGGAGCGATGACATATAAATCAGGAGGTCATAGTTCAATTCCTGTGCAGGGCACATGCCCACGTGTGGACTTAATCCCCAGTGGGAGGTGTGGAGGCAGCCAGTCCAAAGATTCTCTCTCATCATTCATGTTTCTATTTCTCTTTCCTTCTCCCTTCCTCTCTGAAATCAATCAATAAATATATATATATATATATATTTTTTTTTTTTTTTTTTTTTTTTTTTTTTTTTTAAGAATATTGTTTTGGGAAAGCTTCAAGGAGGAAGCAGCACTTGAGCTGTTTTAGAGTAAGTTTTTAAGAATAAGAGTAAGGACATTTCAAGCAAAGCAGCAGCACATACAGTAGGCAAAGATGAAGTACAAGGCATCAGGTAGTTTGGAAAGAAATGATAAGCCTTGAAAGATGGACTGAAGCCAGATCATGAAGGACTCTTTGGTATCCCATGTCAAGAAATGTGGGTTTCGCTGAAAACCGGTTTGGCTCAGAAAGGTCCCAGATTCAATTCCAGTCGAGGGCATGTACCTTGGTTGTGGGCACATCTCCAAGTAAGGTGTGCAGAAGGCAGTTGATCCATGTTTTTCTCATCAGCGATGTTTCCAGCTCTCTATCCCTCTCTCTTCCTCTCTGTAAAAACTCAATAAAATATATTTTTAAAAAGAAATGTGACTTTCATCCTACACTTTCGTATTATTCCCAAAGTGCCACTTCAGAAGATTGCTCCTGATTCAACACAGGTGGAAGAAGTAAAAAGGGAAATGCTATGTATGACAGCTGACCCAATTACTAACTCAACTAGAGGAACTCTATTTCTGTCTATTTTATGCAGTGACATTCTATTTTTAATATGTTTTGGACAAAAATCCTAGTTATAAACAAACTTTTTTTAAGAGCTTGAACATGAGCCATTAAAAGATTTATATCAGGAAATTAAATAAGATTAGCATTTTGGAAAGCTCTCTCTGGTACCAGTACCAAGGATCAAAAATGAAATACAAGACCAGAAGGGAGTTCCAATAACGGATTCAAGAAATTATGAGTTAAATCTGAGTAATGACAACAGAGATATTCAAATATTATTGACATCTACTTTATGCCAAGAAGTCAGCTATGTGCTAGGTTCAGGAGAAAGAACAAAACTCAAGAATTATGTAAGTACAAAGGAACTGATTAAAATGAGAAGGTAAAGAAATTACCAAGAAATTAAGGTTGGTAGGTAACTTGAATAAACTCATGAATAGCTGTGGTTTAAACTCAGGAAAAAAAAAAATCATAACACCACATCTCAACAGGCTTAGTACAAGCCAGACCAAAAAAGATAGGTAAGGAGGTGCAATCTAGAAAAAGCAAAGAATTATAGTTATGACTATATATCAGGAGCAAAGGTCCCAGTGGATTTCTTAGAGGTATATACAAAATCAGAACTATCTTTGAATGCGATTATAAACAACTTCTTAACTATCAATATCCTAGAGAGAATCTCAAAGGTCTCACTAATGGTCTACCTAATAAGTAAAGTTAAAGCATGGCATCTCTCTCGTGGCAATTATGAGACCCAAGTACTGAAACGATAGTATGGAATCAAGGCAGACAAGAATATTGAAAAACAGTACTTATCATTATACCTACACAATTGCTAGCTAACATATGCCAACAAGTTTATCAACTGTTCTATTACTAGAAGGGTATGTATGTAATGAGTTGCACAATTCCACAGATGGCTATTCTTTAAGTATCAATATCTTACTAGACTTTTAGAAGGTTCAAAATATTTATGTGGATATATTTTCCAAGCATTATAAGTAGTCATTGAAATTGAGTTTCTAGGATTTTCAAAGAACCCTAAATTGAAAGAAATTCAGTGCCATTTCCACATGACTAGTTTTATAACCTAATTGCTTTCTCTGATAATGAATTTTAAACAGGAACAGGGCGGAGGAGAAAAAGAACGGGGTGGGGAGTCCTTATATTCTTCAAAAATGAAACCTGTTTTCACTGCTGCTCATGAGTTATTTCAATCTCCTTAATAAAGAATATAATGAACATTAAGTAGACAAAATAAATTCTTAAATCCTTCAGTAAGAGAATTGATCAAAACATCTTCTTTATCAAAAGAGCCTTCATACCTCATTAATTAAATTAGACTATGAAGCCTTACCCATTAAAGAATGCTAATTACTATTTCCAAGTATCTGACTCTAAATTATAAAACTTTTCTTTTGGCAACATTAGGAAGAGCTGATTATAAGTGCACTGTCAAACCTTCTATATTAGAAAAGATAATCTAAGAGAGGAATTGCACAAGCCTGTAGCTACATTGTTGTTTTTTTAATGCAATTGGTATCTGACTAAAATAAGAATTAGAAACTACTCTCTTAAGTATCTTTGAGATGGGCATAATAAGTGCTCGAATTTATAGAAAGAAAACAAAATCGTGGGGAATAGAATTATTACCTGAGGGCAGGAAATTTCAGACAAAAGGTCCCTATTCCTGGTGAAAGCAAGTAGTCAGTTGCCAAGGTTTCTTAGACTCCTCTGGTACTCATTTGAGTGATTATGAAATTCACAGCACACCAATCTCCACTACAGCCAGCAGGGATCGCTGCAGGGAACGGGGACACAGGGGACACAGAAGGGAGCGAGTGTAAGGGAAGGAAGAGGAGAGGAATGATATGATAAAAATATTAAGCTGTGATTCATTTTGAAAAAAATACAGTTGTAGCTCACACTGGATTAACTAAAGGCAAACACTGCTAAAATTCTAAGATAAATGAACTATTTATGATTTCTTCATTCTCCTTACCACTGGAATTACTACCGTGCTATTAAATTAATACTGATATGTATTTTTTAAATTTTATTTTAAAATGCTAATTAACAAAAATTAGATGGCTATATTGTACAAAAGTTATACCAAGACTAAACTGTATAATTCAACATTAAATGAAACCAATTAGGACAAGCAATCTAAAAAATACAAATAGTGAAGTTAACTGTCAAAAGGCCCAGTTAAAAGTAATAATCCTTACTTCATTTCATAGAGAATACTAAAGTTACCTATGAAAAATAACAAAACAAAAAAAGAAAAATCCAGCAATAAACTACATCTGTATATTCAAAAACAAATTGGAGAAATATAGTATCAGGAAAAAAGTAGTGAATCTAAATTTTTTGGATATGAATCAACTTTTTAAACCAGCCAAAAATGGATTCAGGATAACTAATTCATGCTCTATATATCCTATGAAGACCAATGTAGTATTATAAATTTATTTCTCCGGTTAGCTAAATATGTTTCTGAATAACTACTACGTACCACAGCATTGTGGCAGATGTTTAAGATACAATGGCGGCCCTGGCTGGTTTGGCTCAATGGACAGAGAATTGGCCTGTGGACTGAAGGATCCTGGGTTCAATTCCGTCAAGGGCATATGCCCAAGGTGCTGGCTCGATCTCTGGCGAGGGGCATGCAGGAGGCAGCCGATCAGTAATTCTCTCTCTCATCATTGATGTTTCTATCTCTCTCTCCCTATCCCTTCCTCTCTGAAATCAGTAAAAAAGATATTAAAAATAAAGAAAGACTGAAACCGGTTTGGCTCAGTGGATAAAGCGTCGGCCTGCGGACTCAAGGGTCCTGGGTTCGGGCACGTCCCCAGTAGGAGGTGTGCAAGAGGCAGCTGATCGATGTTACTCTCTCATCGATGTTTCTGACTTTCTATTCCTCTCCCTTCCTCTCTGTAAAAAATCAATAAAATATATTTTAAAAAAATAAAAATAAATAAATAAAGTAAAGAAAGAAGAAAGGAAAGAAGGGAGGAGGGAAAGAAGGAGGGAACAATGGTGAACAAGACAAGCATAGTCACTGTCCTCAGAATTCAGAGCCTATAAGGATGATTCTGCCCTTTAAAGAGATGACAACCAGCAGAATTAACAAATAAACAAACATATGTTTTAAGACCTAAAACATTTCAAAGTGAAGATGAACAGTGGAGTAGCCTAGTTAAAGTTGCCTATGGAAGATGTACAAGTAAAATGAAGCCATAGAGGATGTCCTTCCTGAAGGGACACGGACAATTTGGCTATAGAAAAAAACAAAAACAAAAGGTGGGTGAAAAAGTGGGGATGGGGAGAGAAATGTAGCATCGGAAAACAATGAAAAATAAAATTGCAGCCAAATTTGGAGGATGTAAGTCATCTTTAATGTCTCTACATACTTGCCTTAAATACTCTTTTGATATGTATGCTGTAGTCAGATAAAAATGGATTTCATACTATCCATTTTATATCACTAAGCTGTCATTTATGTACTTTTATTTTATTATTGCTTTATAATTTTCCCTGACACTTAGACTACCTCCATCTCATTGTCTCTAATTATTTAAAAGTTCCAGATAGTATTCTGTGCCTCTCTCAAAAAACTAATATTTTATCTTAAATTCTATTAACTCACTCATCTACCATATTGTTGCCAGAAGATATTCCTAAGTCTTAGTTTTATTTATATCTTACAGAATCTTCTTTAAATACTGGTAGGAAGAATAAATGAATGACTTATCAATGAGGATATTTATAGTATTTCTAAAAGATAAGGTAAATCTTACTATTATTAATGCCCCTTTTTATAGTATACTAGAGACCCAGTACACAAAATTCATGCACGGGGAGGGGGTCCCTGGCCCGGCCTGCACTCTCTCCAATCCAGGACCCTTCAGGGGTGTCCAACTGCCAGTGTAGGCCCGATCCCTGTGGACCTAAACCATCAGACGGACATCCCTCTCATAATCTGGGAACACAGGTTCCTAACCACTCACCTGCCTCCCTGCCTGATTGCCCCTAACCACCTCTGCCTTCCAGCCTAATGCCCCTAATTGCTCCCCTACTGGCCTGATCACTCCTAACTGCCTCTGCCTGCCAACCTGATCAGCCCCTAACTGCCCTCCCCTGCCAGCCTGATCACCCCTAACCACCTCTGCCTCGCCCCGCCACCGTGGCTTTGTCTGGAAGGATGTCCAGAAGATGCCCAGTTTAATTAGCATATTACCCTTTTAGTATAGATTTAATCCTAGGTAATAAAAGAGTGATATGCAAATTAACGGTCACTCAGCTATATCCACAAGCCACGCCCACCAGCCAATCAGAGCAAGTATGCAAATTAACCCCAAACAAGATGGCTGCAGCCATGGAGAGCAGGAAGGCGGCTTGGGTTTCCCTGGCAATGGAGGAAGCCAAGGTTTCCACACACCCTGGCAGGCCCAGGCCTCCACTCAAGGCTACAAAGTTTCAATTATAGAAGGTAAATTCTAACAGAAATGGCGGCAGCCACAGAGCTGGAAGAGCAGGAGGCTAGGGTTGTCCAGGGCGATGGAGGAAGCCAAGGTTCTGCAACCCTGGCTGGCCTAGGACTCCACTCCAAGCTACAAAGTTTCAATTGTAGAAGGAAAATAAATTCCAGATACCAGGTTCTCCACTTTGGTCGCCAGGGGGCATGCCTGGTCTGCAAACCACCACAGGCCCCTCACTCAGGCCACCCCACGCCCCAAGGGAACCCCCACTCTGATCCAGGACACCCAAGACCCCACCCATGCACTAGGCCTTTATCCTATCTAATAAAAGAGTAATATGTAGATTGACTATTACTCCAACACACAAGATGGCTGCCCCCATGTAGTCAACGATCCTGCCCCCATGTGGACACAATATGGCCACCACAAGATGGCCAGCAGAGGAGTACAGTTGGGAGGCACCAGGCCTACAAGGGAGGGCAGTTGAGAGGGACCAGGCCTGGAAAGGAGGGAAGTTAAAGGCAATCAACCCTGCAGGGGAGGGCAATTAGGGGTGACCAGGCCGGCAGAGAAGGGAAGTTGGGAGCAAACAAGCTGGCAGGGGAGCAGTTAGACATCAATCAGGCTGACATGGGAGTGATTAGGGGATGATCAGGCTGGCAGGCAGAAACTGTTATGGGCAATCAGGAAGGCAGGCAGGCAGGCAGGCAAGCAAGCAGTTGGGAGCCAGCAGTCCTGGATTGTGAGAGGGATCCCAGATTGGAGAGGGTGCAGGTTGGGCTGAGGGATAGCTCTACCCCCCCAACGCCGCCCCCCCGCCCCCCCCCCCGTGCACAAATTCCATGCCCTGGGCCTCTAGTTTATATTAGGTCTAGTAATAATTAATGTCGTTTTCTAATACTTTTTTAAATCAAATTTATTTAAACAATACAACAAAATTTAATCAACAATATAGTTGCCGTTGTTTTCTACTACTTGTGCCCAACGCTCAGGAAGCATTTTAATCCCTCTGTTGTAAAATTCTTGTGATTTTGATGCAAAAAATTCCGTCAATGCATTTTTGAGGCATTCTTCATTATTAAATTTTTTTCCAAGAAGAAAGTTTTGCAAAGAACGAAACAAATGGTAATCGGAAGGGGCAAAATCAGGAGAATATGCAGGTTGAGGGAGAACTTCCCATTCCAATTGGCACAGTTTTTCAGCAGTGATTCTTGCAGTATGCGGTCGTGCGTTATCGTGGTGAAGAATTACGCCCTTCTGATTAATCAGCGCGGGTTCTTTTTCTCTTAAAGCTTGGGCTAACCTTTCCAATTGGGCACTATACACTGCACTTGTAATGGTTTGGTTAGATGGTAAAAGTTCATAATGAAGAATTCCTTTAAAATTCCACCAAACACACATCACTTTTTTCGCATGCAAGTCAGGTTTTGGTGTGGGCTGCGGAGCCTCATTTTTGTCCAACCATTGAGGCCGCCTTTTCAAATTAACATACAGCACCCATTGTTCATCTCCAGTAACAATTTGCTCTAAAAACGGCAAACGGTTTTGACGAGAGAGGAGCGAACTGCAAATTGTGACTCTTTGATTAAGGTTGTTGTCGGTCAACTCATGAGGAACCCATTTTCCAAACTTTTGGACTTTGCCAAGTGCACGCAATTGATTGGAAATTGTTTTTTGTGAACAATTTAAAGTTGTCACAAGCTCTTGTTGGGTAATTTGAGGATTTTGCACCAAAAGAGCTTGAAGAGCTTCTTGATCAAAATTGGACACACGGCCTCGACCACTCTTGTCATCTAATGAAAAACTTCCCTCGCAAAATCTCTCAAACCAACGCTGGCATTTTCTGGCGCTAACTGCATCTTGACCAAGAGCACTACAGATGTTTTTTGCAGCCTCACTTGCTTTTCTTCCTAATTGGAACTCGTAAAGCATGCAGTGCCGAATATGCTCTTCATCCGCCATCTTCTTAGCCCTAGTTTTGCAACAAAAACCAAACCAAACACAAACTTTTTCAAGCAAAACTTGTTAATTGCACTTCACACGTTCTGTAGATACCACGTGTTTGAAGGTTATGTCAATACAAGTCAACGCCAAGCAAGATTTTAAACGAATGTTTAAAAACGACATTAGTTATTACTAGACCCGATATATAAAGCATCAGAGCAGAAGAAAAATTTGGAGCAGAAACTCAATATCTAAAAACATACTTTTACCAAATTTTAATATCTCTGAATTTTCTGGTACTTACTACATTTATCCCTAAATATTAATTCCTAACAATAAAATTACAAAAGGTTTACAAATAGACAACAGCAGATAA